ATCGTTTAATAGATGAGAGAGAAAACGAGTGAATAAAACTTGATGAATCGGTAAGGAACGTTTGCCGAGACCTACCAACGTGTAGCGTTTCGGAGATTCGAGGAGAAACTACGATGATGTAGGGTGTGAAAGCGAGATTACCGTCAACTGATTCTCTAATCGCGCTTCTACCATCAGAACGTCAATCAGTTTTAAACTTTAAGCAAACAACCGTTTAGACAAACATAGAGGTTTCGATCCGGTGGTCAAGATCGATTAGGCAGTAGTGTCGTAGCGATCTCGAACCGAAGGATCGCGGGTTCGATTCCTGACTCGCGCATGGTTGTATTGTGATCGTCCTTTCACCTCGTATCATCATCATTATAGAGTCATCTTCACAGTGCCCATACCGTTACAAGCAATAGTGGTTGTTAATGACCCAGAAGTTGATGCAACCTTAAATTTCCCCATCATCATCATATCGTGTCATCCTCACAGTGTCCATACCGTTCCAAGCAATAGTACTCGCTAAGGACCTAGAAGTTGATGCAAAAAAAGAACAAAAAACAAAACAAAAACAAACAAAAGAAAAGCAAAGTAACCTTGAGGTGGTAGTAGGCGATGAGCATGGCGAGCGAGACGAGCGAGTGCAGCGCCGCCATGAGCCGCAGCACGTGCTCCATGTAGAAGAAGTCGTGGTCCACGTGCACCAGCTCGATGGGGTCCTCGTCGTCCTCGGCCGAGCCGCCGCCCAGCTCCCCGCTCGCCGCCTCCGTCGAGTTGGCCGCCGCCTCCGCGCTCAGCTCCTCCAGCAGCTCCGCCAGCTCCTCGCCCGACGCCGCCGCGCCGCTCGCGCCGCCGTCCTCCTCGTCCTCGCCCAGCGTCGTCACCTGCCGGGCCGCGCGCTCGCCGCTCACCACACGCCCTCGCACGACACACGAGGCTCGACACGAGGGGTTATTCAACAGCGCACTTGACGAAAATCAGCTGTTCACGGTGCCCTCCGATCGGGAGCTTCAACGTCCCCATAGTGACGTCACAACAGCTGATTTACGTCAAGTACACGACTGAATATATCTTAGGCCGGCAGCGTACAGGTGACTAACAGTTCAGTGTGCTGTTGACATGGCACCTCGTCACTCACGACCTGCTTCCGGAGAAGCCGGGGAGACTATACGAGGGTTTATTTAACCGTGCACTTGACGTAAATCAGATGTTCACGGTTTCATCCGATCGGGAGCTTCAACGTCCCCATAGTGACGTCATTGTAGCAACTTGCACTGAAGTTCCCGAGTGGATGAAACCGCAACAACTGATTTACGTCAAGTACACGACTGAAAAAATCGTACTACGCACATGGCACCTCGTCACACACGACCTGTTTTTAGAGAAGCCGGGGAGACTGAGTAGGCACCGGCAGCGTACAAGCGACACAATGCGCGGTTGCCACACATTACTACCCTCATGGCGTCCCTACACGACAGATACATTAAATCTCAAAACATAAACACCAGGCAACGACACGTCTTTAAATAATGTTTATGCGATAAGGTTCGCCACAGCCAAACCATAGAGTAATGATATAAACCTCCTTAGTTAATGAAGTCGTAGGCTTCCGCGGCCAGAGTCATGTGCGTGATCTTGGCTGTCCGGGTGTCGCCGCGTCGAAGGCTGTGTTGCCGATGTTTCGACCATCTTGTCGTGGTCTTCCTCAGACCAATGCAGACACACGCTGACCAGCCCTGAGGAAGACCACGACAAGATGGTCGAAATGTCGGCAACACAGCCTTCGACGCGGCGTCACCCGGACAGCCATGATTCTACTGAGTTAATGGTCGAACCTTAACGCCTCCGCGACTGCATGCGAGTCAGATGAGCGGCAACGCTGAACGCTGGCTGTGAGGAAGTAAACAAATCCTGGCAAGCTGATTGGTGTAGAGCAGTCACATGACGTACCACAGCACTTGGCGAGAGAACTGTCAGAGTCGCATACACGTTACACGCTGTCGGTGCTGTAGTGCCCCTAGATATAGAGAGTAGCGCAGCCTACGGTAGAGTACGGCCGCCTCCATTTAGTATCCTGTCACCCAATAGCCACGTCAAACAGCATTCCGGAGTTAAGGAGACATTATAACAACCTAAGGCTTATGGAGCGTTTCAAGTACATTATCATTAGATTTTGGTAGATTGGTGGTTCCCAATACACCCACATCACCGCACAGTTCAACTGGATATAAAACAACGGAATCGGCGGCATAAAGGAATGCGCTACTTTCTATACCTAGGGACTCCAGTGGAGACTAGCAAACGGGAGGTTAAACTCACTGGCGAGTGATTATAACACAAGGGAAAAGACTGTCAAATGTTGAAATGTGCTTTGAGTTTTTACTTCTCGTTTCTTTTTAGCTATTTCTAGATTCGAGCATACTACTTGCGTAGTAAAATTATATGTTATGCTGCAACAAAAATCGCCGATTTTTCGTATTGTAGGACCCTGATGCCGAAAAAGTGGATAATTATTGTTCTTATATGTAGCACTTAAGTTTCTCTAAACCGTTGTGTAGTCAGAATCCATGTTTTGTGTGTTCTTACCAAGGGGGAACCCGAAAATTTGGTTTAAGGCCAAACGTTTGTCTGTCCGTCTGTGAACAACGCCAGCGGCGAAATCGAAGCATCAAAATCGATATGCCACATCAGTCTATCTGATTTTACGACCCCTGGGATTTGATATTTTGTTTTTTGGGTGTACTTTACATGTAGCGTAAACGACATTTTCAAAATTTCCTCAGAAACTGTTCCAATTTTCTCTCAGATCGTGCGATGAGCTCTTATGAAAATGTGGTATGTGAGATTTTTGTTGAATGTTTTGAATTTGAGAAAATTGCAATAGTTACACATAATGCGATAAAGTTTGCCCTGTTGTAACTCCGCTAGTTAGAATGATAATTAAGCTGACATGCGATTTATAACGGACACTTATCTGCCGGTACAAACTGAATATTACTTTAAAAATATCACTAACGTGGGGTTCATTTTGACTGTCTTTTACTGTGTAATTTGACAACCTCTCAAAAAATACAGCTCACAGATCGCCTTACCGAAGGGTACTTATCTGCAAACGGAAGTTTTAAGGGCCAAATTATATAAAATTCACACGGGGAAATTGTACATTTCATCGATGAACGTTATCATTTGTCAAAGAAGTTTGTAATTTTGTCTTCCAGACTTTTTAATTTGCTATAACTCTAGACGTCTGGAGGTTTTTATTTACATACTTTATCTATATGGCAATGGAATATTTTACTATAATATATAATTCGGTACTTGGACATTTTGATGTGTTGTCGTCGTTTTTAAGTTGCTTTTCTGTTGTTTCAAGTGACTTGCAAATTGTGGAACAAAAAAAATGTATAAACAAAATGTCGGTCTTGTGTGATCAATCATATGCAGTCAGCTCTCTGTATTCCATCGACCTGTTTCAACGCCATGTGACATACCCCGTACGCCACGTGATATAAGTGTGTACGTCGTTCATCGAACTTATATCAATACGGAATTTAACCTCTTGTTCACTTGTCTTGGACATCGATGAATCGCTAAAGAAATATACTACAACTAGAGTGGATGTCAGTTGATAATGTTGATCAAAATCACGGCTCTAGTACTTTTGAAACGTTAGAGGAAATTTGGCCGTGTGAGATTCCTCACTTAACCTTAATCAACAATATCGACTGACGTCAACCCTAGTAAGAGAAGGAATCTTCTAGTACTAATCTATTTTATCTATGTCTTAAGAACAAGCATTAAACCTGATTTCGAACTTGTGAATATCAAAACTCAAAATCATGGAATTAACCGAAATTATATAGGATGTCCCTTAAATGTATCGGCTAAATCAAGTCATGCACATTCTTATTGGTGTTTGAGGGAGTTTGATAAACCGGATTCCAGTCGAACATATTCGTTTTTGAGAAATCTTCATTTTTTACTTCTTACAGGTGCGTAAATCAAATACTCTGCGTTGCAGAAATACACACAAATATCCGTATAATTAAGGGACAATCTGTTTAAATTGTGGTCCATGCCTTGACAAAAGTGAAAGCACTGACTGAATCTTTCGTCTTACGCGTGTTGACGTTAAGTCGGTCGGATAACAAGTTATTTCGATGGACTTTATTCAAGAAACAGTACACTCTATGAGTGCATTTATTTTTAAAAGTACTGATTTGAGAGCCTAGACGCAGCATGCTTAAAAAAGAGCTAAAACTAACATTCAAAAGCGATTTTTTATAAGTGTTACCTTAAATCAAATATTAGAATATGAACTTACCTACTCTGCACATAAATCACAGATTAGAGCTAAGAGATAAATGAATGAAAATTTCATGAATCTTAATCAGTTTTCAGACCAATAAAGCAGGGGCGGATCCAGAGACAAATTTTGGGATGGGAAATTAAAAAAGTTTTGGTCGAATATATCATTACAGATTTTATAAAATGTCGCAAGCTACACTCAGCTCATGCTGTGATACGATTTTATTCGTTTTAATGATATTCGAAAATATTTTTACTTGAAAGTTTCGTGACAATTTAAATTAAACGTTACAGAAAAGAATTAGGAGGGGGGAAATTTCCCTCATTTTCCTCAATTGGATCCGCGCCTGAATAAAGGAATGACAACAAATAATGCAAATGCAATACAAAGTGAAATTTTCAAAGGAAGTTTAACTAACGGTGGCCAAATAATGTTGATAATATTGATTATCAAAACTACAATATCAAATAACGAATGCGTCTTGGGTTTCACTGTACTGCTCTATATCACTTTTCACTCATTCACTCATACGCCAATAAAAATTGTATTTAGTTTATGATCATAGATCATATGTCAATTTAAAAAAGCATTTAATGTATTATTTATGGAAAAATTCAGTATTGTATATCTTTAAAAAATGTGGAGCATATTTACATTAGAAGTTTTTATAAAAATAATTGTGATACCAATATCTTTATTGGTGGTGGGTCCTTCTGTCCACCTAACCAGTTTTTTCCAAAATCTTCTCTAAAAATATGTTTTTCACAAATATCACAAAAGAGGAATGCTTCGTTCGGCAACAAATTAAGAATATTCATGGCCAAAGTAAGCATTCTTCGATGCTCCACTTGAACGATTTTACTACACAAAAATAGATTCATATTTCATACAAACCTCCACATGCATTTTTCCATACCTTGTACAAAAGAAGAATGAAGTTGATGCAGAAAGCCAGAACCAGAGCAACGTACTTGAGGTTGTAGAAGTTGCGAGCCAGAAAACTGACAGCTCTCTTGGTGTACGAGTTGAAGTCAATCTGGAGCATAAAGGCAAAAAGTAAATTTTTGCAAGTCTTTATAAAATGTTTTCATGCCGGTCAGATGGCCGAGATCGTCAGGGCAGTAGTGTCGTTGCGGTCTCGGACCAGAAGACCGCGTGTTCGAGTCCCGCCTCGGGCATGAGTGTATTTGTGTAAGTCCATATGTTCATCCCTTACTATAATCATCATCCCATCGTCCACATACCCAGGGCTAATAACCCTGGGGGATAAATTCGGGATTCAGCTGAAATCCTGATCCCCTCAGATAAAGGTGATTGCACCTGCTGAAGCAGGATGCACGCGTAGTCTGAGTTGGCCTATACGCGAAAAATAACTGCTTGCTTATAAACTGTTTTGCTTTGCGCAGAAAACGATTGACTTTCTTTTTAAAGTCAATCAAATAGTTAAATTTCTAATAATTTGGGTAAAGAGTTATGAAGGTTAATACATTATGTGTAATTAGGTTTCAGATGATATGTCGCTGACTGTAATTTAATAGAAAGAAGTACAAGGTCGTGAATTCTACTGTTGCTCACTTTTCTTCATACTTGGCCAGAAGGATGGCCCGTTCAGAAACCTAGGTTTCACTCGTAACGAAACAATCGTTTTGCAGAACTGGTAATTAACTAGAATATACCAACTCATTTTACTATTTTCTTTTTTACTCTGAATGTTAAACCTTTATGTATACTACAATTTCTCACTGTTGTAGTCATTTTATAATTTAATTTTCTAATAAGAGCAATGTGTACTTGGATCATAATCCATCTGAAATATGAAAGATACCATAATTTTACACTAAAGTTGATTAAGTGGCAGTCAGGAGAGTTGCGTGATCTGTGATGCAGGCTGGGCCTTTAACCCCCGAAGGTGAATAAGTGAATAAAGAGAAAGTGATCTGAAGTAACCACGGAAAAAATATGAATCTCTTGCTCGTCTCTCTGAGATATATCAGCCAAACTGGATATTTTCGAAAAGTGGCAGTGGGAAGTTTTTCCCTAAATGTTGTCAGAATTTTACGCCGCCGCGACCGCCACAAGTATCGACGGGTCGGAGGCGATCTGACCTGACATGCACCTCCGATACCCAAGGGCGCAACACCTCCTGTATTAAGACCAGCCCGCGATTTATCTTTTTACCATCCACCGAAACAAATAGATTAATTAATCACTTGCGGAATGCGTTATATAAAATGGCAGTAGTGGGATTAAGTTCATTAATCTCTAATCTCATACAGACAATTTGACTAACTTCCCGCGCATTTCCAAGTTCACGTCGAGATTCGCACCGTCGCGGTTTCCATTGTGAACATAAACCATTCTCACGTACAATCAACGCGAAATTTAGAGTTAATTTTCCACCAAAAAACATATACGGCTTACACGGACTCTTTTCTCACACAGAGCTGCCTAATTAATTACGTGTATTTCACACATCTTCCCTTTGTACAGTTGATTCAGCTGTTTCTCAATACTGCATCGCCGCCTCTGTTTGTCAGTGATGTTGTGGGGGCGGACGTACCTGCGACACGGCCGAAGGCTCCGTCACCACCTCCTGCTTGTTCTCGGCCTCGACCGCCGCCATGGCCGCCTGCTGCTGCGCCGCCGCCTCCGCCGTCGCCGCCGCAGCCTTTCGCGCCGCCTCGCCGCTGCGCACACGCGGACGCACACTCAAACGCGAGCACGACCCTCGGCACGCACTTGCGCGCATACACGCACTGACGCACTCACCCGCACAAGCTCTCATTTACTCTCGCACGCACCCACTCCCTCACGAACACACCCACTCTCCCTCACGCACACACACACTCCCTCACGCACACACCCAC